CCTCCTCCTCCTCCTCCTCTCCTCCTCCTCCTCGTCCTCCTCCTCCTCCTCCTCCTCCTCCTCCTCCTCTAGCCGCGTGGCAGTTTGCACGTGGCAGCGGCGCTAGCGACGCTCCGTGACCTGGAGATGGGTACCAGGCACGGGGGGATGCGCACTCGGTTGGGAGGCGGGGTCATGTGGCCCGTAAGTCCCACGGTGGCTTTGTGCCCGCCCGCCTTCGGGTAAAAACCCAGTTGCGCATGCCAGCTGATTGGGCTGGGGCTGCTAGTCGGGAAGTACCCCGCATTGACGAGGTGAACCGAGTGCACCCTAAGCACCACGCCCTTTCGGATGGGGGCAAGTCGGTGGGCGACGAGGTAGCTGCCTATCCCCTGTTCGTCGGTGCGCGCGCCTGCGGGCCCGCTTCGCCCCGTAAGGGACAGGCCGAGAGTGCTGGTTGCCTGCCCTTGCGGCCCGCCTGCGTGCGGCGTGCACCGTGCACTAACCTCCTCCTCCTCCTCCTCCTCCTCCTCCTCCTCCTCCTCCTCCTCCTCCTCCTCGTCCTCCTCCTCCTCCTCCTCCTCCTCCTAAACCTTTTTTCCTCCTCTTCCTCGACCTTCTCCTCCTCTTCTTCTTCCTCTTCCTTCTGAACTTTTTTCCTCCTCCTCCTCCTTCCTCCTCCTCCGCCTCCTCTTCTTCCTCCTCCTCCGCCTCGTTCCAGACTCCCCGTCCTCCTCCACCTCCTCCTCCACCTCCGCCTCCTCCTCCTCCGCCTCCTCTTCCTCCGACTTTCCCTCGTCGACCTCCTCGACCTAATCTTCGACCTCCTCCTCCATTTCCAATTCCCCCTCTTCCTCTCCCCTCCTCCTTCTCCCTTCTCCTCATCCTCCTCATTCCCCTCATCCTCTTCCTCCTCGTCTTCCCCCTCCTCGTCCTATTCCGCCTTTTCCTCCTCCATTTCCTCCTGCGTCAGCCGATGGATGGTCCTGGTTCGCAAGATGGCTAGCCGCTAGAAGACAGGATAATCAGTGGCGCGGTACATTGTTCGAGCCACAATTTCGTGCATACGAGCGTCGATGAACGATTATTGAATCCCCAGCATGTGTTAATCATCGACTTGTTCGGTCGCGCAAACACAGTTTGGAGCCCAATGCAGTGTTGTTCACGCACCGCTCGCCGGAAGCCCTTTGGCTCGACGAAATCCAGCAAGTGAGGCTCGACCAAGAGTTGGCCCCGCGTGCCATGGAACCAGATCACGAAAGAACCGATGTTGCGGCACCGCGCCGGGTGGAAACGAACCGCCTGTACAAGGAGGCGCCGTCGGTCGGGGTTAGCGCGAGGATGAACCCGCTCCACAGCGTTCTGGAACGTCCCCAGAGCGTTTTTGGAACGCTCTGAAAGGCTGCGGCGCACGAGACATCCTCCAGAGCCGCCAGATCTCTCACACATATATATTTACAGACATATATATATATATATATATATATATATATATATGTATATTGTTATATATAATATATGTATATATACATATACATACATACATACATACATACATACATACATACATACATACATACATACATTCTCGAAATATGTTTACCCGTTTTTGTTTATCATCACCCGATGTATCCTCACCGGTTAATTTTCCTCACCGGATGTTCTCCTCGTCCTGGTTTCATCATGTTGTTTTTTGTTTGTTTGCAGGGCCAGCTCTCCATCGAGGAGTCTCGTCGAGGGCCCGGGGGGCGCGTGACGAGGTCCTGAAAACGCCCGAGAACGGCGGGGAGATTGCCAGGACGGCCCAGTGTTTCCAAGGGCCAGGGGCAAGGACGATAGGCACAAGGGGGGCGCATAAGGGAGGATAGGGGCGACCCGGCACGCGGGGGCAACGATCGGGGGGGATGGGCCTGGGCGGACGCATCGACCCCTGATCGCCCATTGATCGCCGATGTGGATCTCATGCTCCCACCCCGCCCAGGAAGGTGCGGTTTGGCTTTCGGGGGCTTATCGGCGATCCATCGGCGACGTATCGCCGATTCGAGGTCGATGCTTCCCCCGACGCCAGTCCCTCCCTGTCGTTGCCCCACAAGGAACCGTTGCCAGAGATCCGAGTTGTTGTTTTTTTCATTGTGGGATCCTCAGAAGCCCTGGCTCAAGACGGTGGTTCATCCTGTGTGCTTGTTTGACGGCCCCAGGGCCCGGGGAAGGTTCCCGGAGGCCGAAAACGATCTTCGTGTTGTCGGCAGCTCTTGGGGGGCTAGGTTCTCGCGAACACCTCCCAGACGTTGCCTCCTGAGTACTGCTTGCTGTTCGAAGTCGGGGTGACCCTCCTGCTGGTTTCGTGCATCTGCCTTGTCTGCCCCCGGCTGGCACTAAGCTGGGCACGCCCCTCAACAGGAGGAAGATTCGAAACTACGCTAAAACCAATCTGGGGATGAGTATGTTTCGACTACTGTCCATAATTCCTTCGAAATCCGCCTGTGGGAGGACACCTGGCCGCTCGTCCCCCCCGCCGCCGGTCGGCGGCGCCACGCTCCCCTTGGCCGAGGCCGTGAGGGGGCTGCCGAACGAGCCCGAGCTGGCGGAGGCCTGCGACGACGTGTACCTGGAGGCGCTGCTCCGTCTCGCCGCCAGGGGGCGGGGACCGGAGGAGGAGGAGGAGGAGGAGGAAGAGGAGGAGGAGGAGGAGGAGGAGGAGGAGGAGGAGGAGAAGGAGACGGAGGAGGGGGAGAAGGAGGAGGAGGAGGAGGAGGAGGAGGAGGAGGAGCAGGAGGAGCAGGAGGAGTAGCAGGAGGAGCAGGAGGAGTAACAGGAGGAGGAGGAGGAGGAGGAGGAGGAGGAGGAGGAGGAGGAGGACGGATCTTAGAGGAGGACCATGAGATCCAGGCGTTGCATTCTTTAAACAATTGGCGTGGTCGCCGGGTTTCGGGCCCCAGGACCATCACAGGTCGATCCGTCTCGGGAAGTGCCGCAGAAAGAATTGGCCTAGGGTTCCGGTCGTGATGTTGTACGAAGTTTCAATTGTTCGGCGACGTCGGATATCAGGGATCGAGGTTTTCGAAAGTTCTCGTCGAATCCAATTGGTTTTCCAGCCCCAGTCGCGTACTTGGAGGTGCTGCTCCGTCTCGCCGCGGGAGGTGGGGTGTGGGAAGCTGTCCTCTCCCTTTACTTTGCATCTTCGGGGGACCTGTCCTGTCCCGCAACTGGCAGTCGTTTCGCACACTCCTGCGTGAGTTCGACGCGGATTCGACTTCAATTCGACGTGGATGCGACACGGACGGTCGGCGCGACGGGGCAATCGAGGTCCCCCAAAGATGCAACATGCTTTGCTCGCCCGTCTCTTCTGCATGCGGCGGCGGTGGGCGGCGGGGCGGCGGGCAAAACATACCCGAGCATCGTCGCGCGAGGGAGCGGTTTATCCATCGGTCGTTGAAAGTAGGTATTTTTGGATTCCCAGATTCCAATCTACTTTCAGCGCCTTCCTACTTCAAGAGTCGAGTGGTTTTCCATCTTCCCTCCTCTTCAGGAAGCGGGGCGGAAACCCAATATGTTTCCAACGCCCTCCTACTTCATGCTTCTACCTACTTCTTCCGACCGATGGGTACTGGAGGGCGGCCAGGCCGCGCCCGACAGGTGTACCCGCACCTGAGCGCCACCACCCAGGCGCTGGCCGAGGAGTGCCCGCGCGTGCGGACGGCGAGCAGGCCGCACAACAGGACGCTGCCCTGCTTTGCAGCGTTGCCAGCGCCAGCGGCGGCGGGAAGGACACGTCGGGCGAGCGGAGGAGGACCCAGACACAGGAGGGGAAGAAACACAGACACAATTCATCGTCGACTCCCGGGAAAAGATGGGAAAATATGGGAAGTGGGGGGGAAGACAAAAAACCAGAAAGTATAAGAAAACATGGGGAATCCTGTTCTTTGTGTGTATTTTTTGTTGTGTGTGTGTTTGTGTGTGTGTCATTGTGTGTGATTGTGTGTGTGTGTGTGTCTGTGTCTGTGTCTGTGTCTGTGTCTGTGTCTGTGTCTGTGTCTGTGTCTGTGTCTGTGTCTGTGTCTGTGTGTGTGTGCGTGTGTGCGTGTGTGCGTGTGTGCGTGTGTGCGTGTGTGCGTGTGTGCGTGTGTGCGTGTGTGCGTGTGTGCGTGTGTGTGTGTGTGTGTGTGTGTGTGTGTGTCCCAGGGCCCCTTCACAGACATGCTCGTTTCGTCCAAGAGTAAGGACGGGCGGCTTCTGGCCGTGTTCGGCCTCCGGGGGCCCGTATATTGGGCCTCGGGACCGTCAAACAACACGACTCGGGGGTCGACGTCGCATTCGGCCACGCGCAGAGGGGGGCATGGGGGGATGGGAGAAGGCTTCTTAGAAGCACCCTTTGCTTCTTAGAAGGTGCGGGCCTTCTCTATAGATGTAGGGCCGGCGCCTGCTAAGAAGCAGCCTCCTTCTAAGAAGCCTTCCCCCTCCCCCTTCCCCCCTGTGCACGCCGACAAGTAGGATGTTGCTCAGGAGGAGCAGGGAGGCAGGCAGGGCCGCCTGCGATGCTATGCCGTGCGATGCGATTCGATTCGCCAGCAGGCGCCGTGAGGCCGCTTCACTTCGATTCGTGTCGGTGCTCGGAGGCGTCGATACGGAGGGAAAGGCACACGTAGGCGGGATGCATCGACCCCCAATCGCCCATTGATCGCCGATAGGGGCCCGATAGCTCCGACCTGCCCAGGAAGGTACGGTTTCGCTATTGGGAGCCAAACGACGATCTATCGACGATGTATCGCCGATTCCAGGCCGGTGCTCGGAGGCGACGATAGGGCCGAACAGCCCAGCGGGGGGCAATGCATGTATCCAGGGGCGCCGATGGTCCATGTCCTTGGCGAGACTCCCCGGCAGGATACGTGTGACGCCAGCCCCTGCGCTATTCGCCCATCTCGTCCCCGCCGAGGTGCACCGCATCGACTGGGGCCAGCCGCAGCCTGGCTCGGCGATCCAACTTCGATTCGATCCAGGTCAGGCTTGGCAGGGGAGGAGGAGGAGGAGGAGGAGGAGGAGGAGAGGGAGGAGGATGAGGAGGAGGAGGGGGATGGGGAGGAGGAGGGGAGGAGGAGGGAGGAGACGGAGGAGGAGGAGGAGGAGGAGGAGAGGAGGAGGAGAGGAGGTGAGGAGGAGGAGGAGAGGTGGAGATGGAGGAGGAGGCTGCGCTCGAAGAGCAAACAAACTCGGTGAACAGAAGAAATCCGGAGCTCCGCGCAGACTTTCCGGAGCCCCGCGCAGGCCTCGCCGCGGGCATCGGCTGCCGACGGCTCAGAGATTGGGCCCTGACGTTAATCGACTACACGTAAGAGTGACCCTTTGCCGGAGTGACCTTTGGTGCGGGCCCATTGGGGTCCCCGATCGCCGAACGCGAGGCGGCAGTGGCATCTTGCGCGCTTGTCTTTGGACCCCCCGCGGCCCCCAAACAGCCGCGCACCAAAGGTCACTCTTACACAGGGTCACTCTTACGCGTAGCCGAGTTAAGTCGGGCCTGTCCCTCTATACACAGGAATATGCAAACATAGTCCAAACATAGTCGGGGTACGATTTTTGGATTTTTTACCTGACAGCGAAGACTGTTAGGTTTCTAATGGGGTCAAAAGAGAGCATCTGATGACTCCCCAGGGGGGTCTGGGCGGGAGCCGGACAGGCGAGGGCCGGGCTCGTTTTAAGCAAACAGTCACACACTTCGTGCCCTTCGACCTCCCAGAACTCCATTCCCGGGTCACATTTTGAATGCCCGGAGCCAACTGTAGGCCACTTCGTGCTCTTCGACTTCCCAGAACTCCATTCCTGGGCCACATTTTGGATGCCCGGAGCCAACTGTAGGCCACTTCGTGCTCTTCCACTTCCCAGAACTCCACTCCCGGGCCACATTTTGAATGCCCGGAGCCAACTGTAGGCCACTTCGTGCTCTTGGACTTCCCAGAACACCATTCCCGGATGCCCGGAGCCAACTGTACGCCACTTCGTGCTCTTCCACCCAGAACTCCACTCCCGGCCACATTTTGAATGCCCGGAGCCAACTGTACGCCACTTCGTGCTCTTCCACTTCCCAGGCTAGCAGGCTGAAGCAGGGTGAGGCTGAGGCAGACTGAGGCTGAGCTGAAGCTGAGGCTGAAGCAGGGCTGAGGCTGAGGCTGAGGCTGCAGGCTGAGGCTGCTGGCTGAGGCTGAGGCTGAGGCTGAGGCTGAGCAGGCTGAGGCTGAGGAGGCTGAGGCTGGCTGAGCAGATGCTGGAGCAGGCTGATGCTGAGGGCCGGGCTGAGGCTGATGCTGATGCAGGCTGAGGCTGAGGCAGGCTGAGGCTGAGGCCGAGGCTGAAGGCAGACTGAGGCTGAGGCTGAAGCAGGCTGAGGCTGAGGCAGAGGCAGGCTGAGGCTGAGGCTGAGGCAGGCTGAGGCTGAGGCAGGCTGAGGCTGAGGCTGAGGCTGATGCAGGCTGAGGCTGAGGCAGGCTGAGGCTGAGGCCGAGGCTGAAGGCAGACTGAGGCTGAGGCTGAAGCAGGCTGAGGCTGAGGCTGAGGCAGGCTGAGGCTGAGGCTGAGGCAGGCTGATGCTGAGGCAGGCTGAGGCTGAGGCTGAGGCTGATGCAGGCTGAGGCTGAGGCAGGCTGAGGCTGAGGCCGAGGCTGAATGAGGCAGACTGAGGCTGAGGCTGAGGCTGAGGCAGGCTGAGGCTGAGGCTGAGGCTGAGGCAGGCTGAGGCTGAGGCTGAGGCAGGCTGATGCTGAGGCAGGCTGAGGCTGAGGCTGAGGCTGATGCAGGCTGAGGCTGAGGCAGGCTGAGGCTGAGGCCGAGGCTGAAGGCAGACTGAGGCTGAGGCTGAAGCAGCTGAGGCTGAGGCTGAGGCAGGCTGAGGCTGAGGCTGAGGCAGGCTGATGCTGAGGCAGGCTGAGGCTGAGGAGGCTGAAGGCTGAGGCTGAGGCTGCAGGCTGAGGCTGAGGCCGAGGCTGAAGGCGACTGAGGCTGAGGCTGAAGCAGGCTGAGGCTGAGGCTGCAGGCTGAGGACTGAGGCTGAGGCTGAGGCTGATCAGAGGCAGGCTGAGGCTGAGGCTGCAGGCTGAGCTGAGGCTGAGGCTGAGCTGAGGGCTGAGGCTGAGGCTGAGGCAGCTGAGGCTGAGGCTGAGGCTGAGGCTTAGGGCTGAGGCTGAGGCCGAGGCCGACGGCACTGAGGCTGAGGCTGAGGCTAGATGAGGCAGGGCTGAGGCGGAGGCTGAGGCAGGCTGAATGCTGAGGCAGGCTGAGGCTGAGGCTGAGGCTGATGCAGGGGTGAGGCTGAGGCAGGCTGAGCTGAGGCCGAGGCTGAAGCAGACTGATGCTGGCTGAAGCAGGCGAGCTGACTGAGGCTGAGGCCAGGGCTGAAGGCAGACTGATGCTGAGGCTGAAGCAGGCTGAGGCTGAGGCTGAGGCAGGCTGAGACTGAAGCTGGCTGAGGCTGAGGCTGAGGCAGGCTGAGGCTGAGGCTGTGACTGCGACTGCCGTTGCCACTGCGACTGTCATCGCGAATGCGACTACGACTGCGAGAATAGCAGAATCCTACAACTGGATTCTCATCTGAATCTTAAGGGGAATGCTTCCAGATATGCTCCTACACATCGCTGTTAGGTTGCTTTGCCGGGATAAGTTTGCATTTAGGAGCATTTCTGGGTTATTTTGATTTTTGTCGCCCAAAATCCCCCTGTAGAGGGGGACACGCCCGAGCCAACCCTGACGAACGGCGCCCTCAGGACAGGACCCCGTTCGCACCGTTCGAGGCGCCTCGTTCGAGGGGCGCCTGGCCCTTCGAGCCCCATCCCTCAGGACCCCGCCTTCACAAGCAGGAGAAGGCGCGAAGACAGCATCTGTCTCAGCTCCTCGCGCATGTCCTGGATCGACGCTTGGCCCCCCTGGCGGCGCCTCCGGCGCCGCTCCTGCTGCCTCCGGCGCCGCCAGGCAGGGGGGGCCCACGCCGCTCCAGGAAAGCCGCGCGGACCCCAGGCAGTTCGTGCTTCTGTTCAGTCGGGCCTGTCCCTCTGTTGGTGGAAGTGAAGAAGTGGTATGGCGACGATCTGTTGGGCACTCTTGTCAACTGTTTGAGCATTTCTTGGCTATGTTTTGCGTCTCGTCCAACATCCGCCCGTAGGGGGGGGGCACGTCAGACCTGATGCTTTTGCCGCTTGCTGCTCCCTTGTGCGGGCTGCCGGGGCTGTCCCCGAGTGGCAGCTCGGGAGAGGAGCGTCGGCACCGTCGGAACGAGTACGGGAAAAGTGGGGGTGAAGACCGGCAGCAGCTCCTGGCCACTCTGAACGAGGCTCGTTGTCGGTGCCGCCGCGGACGCTGTCCGTTTGAGACCAGAAGTCTCCTGCCAAGCGGCGGCCGCCGTTGGCCTTGGGCAACAGTTGCTGCGGGGCGCCGTGCCATCTTTACGCACCCGCTTCGGCGGGCCAAGACCTGGCATCGCTGGGTGATGTGTGCACCTGTTCCCGGCGAGGACCCTCGATGGGCATGTACGTTGCACCATCTTGCGGGCCACACAGCAGAGAACGGCACCGACACGCGCTCGGGGGAGTGGACGCCCGAGGGGCGGCGAGCCCGCACCGAGGGCCGGCGGGCCGAGGCCGGGAGGAGCGGGAGCGGGCGGCGTCAGCTGGCCACCCGACGCTTCCGTCCCTGGCCGGGCCCAGCCTGGGCCCAGGAGCGGGGCCTTCCATCCCGCTGGGCCGGGCCGAAGCATGCGGCTCCAACCGGCTGACTCTGGCATCGCCCAGGCGTGTGCACGTTTTCTCGGCGAGGGCCATCGTGGAGCATTCGGCCCCACCCGGCTTACCTGGACGCCCGACATGGGTACGGAAAGAAGGGGCACGATGCCCAACAGCGGTTCCTGTTCGTTCTGAGCAGGACTCGTTGTCCACGCCGCCGCGGCCTGTCCCCATTCGAGACAGAAGGCCGCCTGCCCAACAGCCGCCGCTGTTGGTTTGGGACAACATTTGTTGTTGGGCATCGTACCCATTCTTTCCGTACCCATTTCGGGCGTCCAAAGCTTATTTTGGCATCGCCCGGGCGTGTGCATGTTCTCCCGGCGAGGACCACCGTGGAGTATCCTGGATCACCATGCGGCACATGCGCACGAAGCCAAGGGGAACGCGGGGGATGGACGCCCGAGCGATGCCGAGCTGGCAGGCCCCTTTCGGGCTTGATGCGCCTTCGCAGGTCTTGTGTAGACCTGCCATGGGTTGCCTCCTGCTCCATGGAGGGGGGGGGTGGCAGGCGTCGGATCATGGGCGTCGGCGGCGGTGCGCTGCCGCTTGTCACTGGACAAGCACGGAGGATTCATTGAGCCAGTGCCGATGCGTCTGATGGAAGCGCCAGCGCCACAAGCGAATGTGTTCCTCCGCGTTGCGCATCCTCTTCATCATCCTGATCCTACCTCATCCTCCTCCCGATCCCCCATTCCCCCCTCTTCTCGCCTGCTTGTCCACCTGCACATCCCTCGTTCTTTCGCCTACTCATCCTCCATCTCCTCCCGCGTCGTGCGTCTCCTCTTTCGCCTCCTTTTCATCGTTCTGATGTAACGACCTCCTCTTGCGCCTCGTCACCTCCTCTCTCCTCCCCCCTCCCTCCATTTCCATCGTCCCTCATCCTCGTCCTGCCCCTTCCTCCCTCTTTGTCCCTCGTATACTCATGGCTCCCATCCCCCCCCCCCGAGGCATGGTTTGCTTTTCAGGCCACCAAGCTCTGAGGAGAAAGAGGAGGCGAGGAGCATCAGCTGTCAGGAGAAGTGCGCTGTGCGCGCCATCCAACCCCAACTTCAGCACTTGCGTCCGTCCTCCTCTGCCGCAGGGACATCCACTTCGGGGACCAGCTCGTCTGGTTCCTCGGCCGCGCCCAGCCCGAGGTCGTCCGCTCGTGGATGGCGCACGAGGACACCGTCTGTGCAGCTGCTGCAACCCTTCGTTTGCTGCGCATGGAGGAGGAACAAGTATGTTGGATGGTCGATGACGGAGTGGAGCAATACAGGTGAGGGTCAGGGATTGATAGGACCCCTCACCTTGCCGAGTCGAGAAGCGAATCTCGTGGGCCCTGGTTTCCCCCCACGTCCCGAGTGTGTGGGACGTGTTACTGGTGTGACGCCTTCCACGCACTGATCTTCGGATACCCAGATTCATTCATACTCTGACCACTCAGATTCAGGTCTACTCTGACTCAGCCAGGTCATACTCAGACTCATACAGACACACCACTCACACTATGATCATTCGCACTCAGACTCACGCGCACTCAAACTTACGATCAGACCTACCTACATTCTGCCAATCAGAATCTGGCCCGCTCATGCTCGCTCCTTAGGCGCTTCAGGATCACCACGATGTGGCAGGCACATCAGCTCGGCACTACAAGGGGGAGCCGCCAAGGGGTTGTCATATTCGCCTGTTGGCGCCCCGACTCGCTCGTTTGGCGGCTCCGATTCCTGTGATTTCACATCAGATTGTGGAAGAGCCTCGAGCGAGGCGCGGGCTTTAGCTTCCCAAGGGAGGGACGGTAGGCCAGGTCGTGGGGTTGTCTTTAGCGAGGCGTTCGTTTGGCGGCTCCGACTCCTGCTCTTTGCGAGCAGATTGTGAGGGCGTCTCGAGCGAGGCGCTTCTCTTAGCATCCAAAGGGAGAGCCGCCACAGGGCTACGGTTCTCGCCTGTCGGCGCCCAGGCTGTGGGGATGTCTTTCGCGAGAGGCTCGTATGGCGGCTCCGACTCCTGTGCGTCCAGAGCAGATTGTGAGAGTGTCTCGAGCGAGGCGCTTGCTTTAGTGCACTCCGAGGGGGCCGGCCAGGGGGTGGGGGGAGAATCGCCCGGTTGCGCCCAGGCTGCGGGGATGTTTTTTAGCGAGGCGCTCGTTCGGCGGCTCCGACTCCTGCACTTTGAGAGCAGAGTGAAGATTTCTCGAGCGAGGCGCTCGTTTCAGCACCCCAAGGGGGAGCCTCCAGGAGGTGCGACATTCGCCGCCCGTTCGCGCCCAGACCATGGGGGCGTTCTGTGCGAGAGGATGCCGTCGGGGGCGGACATCTCTTCGCCGAGCCGGGCCCAGGCATGCGACGTCTTGTGATCGTTTTTGTTATTCGTGGTTCTGCCGATTGGCGCGGGCCCTCGCACCCTCGCCCCTTCCCACCCCCCCATGGAGTAGATCTTGGGTATTTGGGGCGCCCGTTTCAGCAGGTGTAGTCTCCCCTCCCAGGACGCACTGTCGCAAACAGTCGCGCTGAGCAGAGGTCCAGAGCCAGACCCCCCCCCCTTCCCCTCTTCTGCCCAGTGTCGAGACGCCGAATGGAAAAACGCTCACTTTCCATGCGCGATGCCCAGAAGTCGCGACCCCTTCCCCATGACTGCTTTTTTTTCGTCCCGAGGCGCTCTTGGACGCTCCCGGGGGGCCCGGCGAGGGCCCCCAACCGAAAAGGCAGAGGAGGAGGAGGAGGAGGAGGACCAGGAGGAGGAGGAGGAGGAGCTTAAGAGACGGGGGTCAATTCAAACGGGGCTCACCCAGGGCTCCGGATCCTGCAGGATCTTGCGCGAAGACCCTTTCGGGCTGACCCGGGGGTAGCGAGCCGCGCTCGTGGCCACGGGGCGGCCGCGCATGTTGGCGGACCCTGGTTTGCGAAGCCCTGCGTTGCAGCTTGTTGTTTCCTGCGCTGCAGTTTTTTGTTGGTTTCCTGCCGACCGGGGTCTGATTGACCCGGGTTCGCAGGTCCCCGAAGTCGGGCGCGTGCTCAGATCGGGACGATCGAGATGGGTACGGGAAGTATGGGTACGATGCCCAGCGGCATGTCTCGTGCATGTTTTACGGGACTCGTTGTCCGCGCCGCTGCGGAGGTGGTCCATTTGAGACAGAAGGCCGCCTGCCCAATAGTGGCCGCTGTCGGTTTTGGGCAACGTTTGTTGTTGGGCGTCGTACCAATTTCTTCCGTACCCATTTCGGGCGTCCAAATCACATGTGTTGACCTTCGTGTCGTGCAGCGAATTTCGGCGGCGAGCAAGGGGGGGAAGCGAGAAGGAGAAAGCTTTCTCAGAAGGCGGCGGGTCTTCTCAGAGTTCTGCGCGTTCGGGGAAGGTTGAGACAATTCATCAGAAGGCCAGGGAATCTCACAGCCTTTGAGAAGGCCGGCCACTTTTCCTTTTCCACCCAGGCTCGCCGCCGAAAAATCATGAGAAGCCTCCACCCCACACGCAAGGAGGCGGGCAGTTTTTTTAGGTCGGGGAGCCGCGTGAGCACTTCCCAAGGAGGGAGGCCGAGGCGTTCCTCGTTGCTCTCCTACCCTCGGCAGAGGTCACACTGGACGAAGGAGCGCGAAAGATCAGGAGGGGAAAACACACACAGACACAATTAATCGGCGATTTCCAGAAAATATGCGAAAGTATGGGAAGTAGGGGGGAAGACAAAAACCCAGGGAATATGGGAAAATATGGGGGATATGTCTATTTGTGTGTATTTATTTGTGTGTCCCAATTCCCTTTCAAAAGAAGGACCCGGACCCGGACATGCGATGTATTGTTTCTGTTCGGGGGGGGGGTCCCCAGAAGTCCCGGCCCCGCCTGTTTCTTGGGGCCGTTTTTTCATCCCGAGCCGTTCTGTGACTGCCCTGGGGCCCGGCAAGGGGCCGAAGGAATCTTCAAGCATAGTCCAAGCATAGTATGGGGACGATTGTTGTTGGCACTTTTGGCTTGTGTTCAGTGCTTTTTTTGTGTGACTATCTTGCATTCTATCGTCCGAAGTCCTTCTGCGGGAGGCCGTGCCCGACCTGAGAGCGGGGGCGGAAAAGAGGAGGGTGATGACTGGGGGGGGGGGGGATATCATGGCGGTGGCCATGATTTTTTCCATGATTTCATGGCGCCTCTTCTTATTTCAATACGTTCCCTGGCCCCCCCCTAGGCCGCGCACATGCCGCCAGCCATGATTTGCACCCCCCCCTCTTGGACACCCCCCTCTTTGGCCGCCCCCCGATGAGAGCAGGGCGACGAGCTGTGCACAGGTCCGCCGCTGCGGGCCAGGCCCCGCCGGGCCCGGGAGCGGGGGGTGCACTGCCTCCGTGGCCGGGCCGGCGGGCGTGTGCACGCCGCCCCCAGCGTGCCCGGGCGCGGCCCGGCCGGCGGCGGCGGCTGGACGGAGCTTGCGTCGCCCTGCCGGGAGGCACGAGGAGCGGGAGCTCGACGAGGACCACCAGGCACTGCTCCTCCTCCTCCCCCTCCTCCTCCTCCTCCTCCTCCTCCTCTTCCTCCTCTTCCTCCTCCTCCTCCTCCTCCTCCTCCTCCTGGCGTGAAGTCGGGCCTGTCCCTCCACAGGAGGAATGTTCAAAAGTAGTCCAAGAATAGTCTGGGGACGATTTGTTTCGCATGGTTTGCCTATTTGGGGGTATGTTTTGACTACCTTGTATCTTTCGTCCAAAATCCCCCTGTATGGGGAACTCGCTCGACTTAAGTATAGATTACGTCGCCCTACCCGGAGGCACGAGGAGCGAGGGTTCGACGAGGACCACCAAACACTGTTCTGAGAATCTTTTGGTGATCGTGTTCTTAAGTCCTTGTTTTGCCGATCGGCGCGGGCCTTCGCACCCCCTCTCCCCTCCCCTTCCACGGAGTAGGTCTTGGCTGTTTTCTGGGCGCCTGTTTCGAGCAGGTGGAGTCTCCCCTCATGGGACGCACTGTTGCAAACAGCCGCACTAAGCAGAGATCTGGAGCCAGACCCCCCCCTTCCGCTCAACGTCGAAACGCCGAATATAAAAACGCTCACATGTGGTGGTTTGCGCGAGATGTGTTCGAAATTCGGAAGGGATGTGGCTGAGACCGCCTTTGTTTGATGCACCTCTTTCGCGGTCTAAGATTGGTGTTGTTGTCGTTTTTAGCAGATCATTCTCCCGCTCTAAGAACATGTCGTGACAGGCCTATGGAATGCCAGGACGGTCGAACACTCCAGGCACGACCGCGTCATGATTTGGAGTGCTCGGGGGGCGTCTTGGGGCCATCTTGGGCCGCCATGGGGGCTCTCCTCGGGCAGTGCTGGGGCTCTGCTGTGCCGTGTGGGTGCCCATCCGCCGATCGGCGCGTGTGAGCAGCAGGCGGGAGGCCGTGTGCCGGCAGCCCTCCATGGGCGCGGGAGTGGACTCCCGCACGCCGTTCTCTCTCTCTCTCTCGCTCTCTCTCTCTCTCTGTCTCTCTCTCTCTCTCTGTCTCTCTCTCTCTCTCTGTCTCTCTCTCGCTCTCTGTCTCTCTCTCTCTCTGTCTCTCTCTCTCTCTCTCTCTGTCGCTCTCTCTTTGATGTTCTGGAAGCCCGCTTGGGTCGTTTTGGGGGCGATATGCCGCTTGCTCGAGCGAGGAGGACGTCGGCGCGGGAGAGGCCAGGAGCCCCCTCCCCGCCGGGGCCCGCCCGGGAGGGCCTCGTCGTCGAGGTGCACGACCGGGACTTGAGGCCGCCGCCTCCCAAGGAGCGCGGCGAGCCTGGGCGGCGGCGGCGGCGGCGGCAACGTCGAGGGGAGGCAACGTTTTCACCAGCAGCGAGGCCGTGCAGGACGAGAGGGAGGGACAGGGGGATGATGACGAGGAGGAAGAGGAGGAGGAGGAGGAGGAGGACGAGGAGGAGGAGGAGGAGCCTCAGGGGCGGCCGAACCGATCCGTGGCAACTCATCCCCTTCCGTGACGTCCCCCTCGCCTCGCCCCAAAATTTCTGTATGCGGCCGGAGGGGAGCTCGAATTGCGAGGATGGCGTCACGGAAGGGGATGTTTTGCTGGGGGTCGGTCAGGCCGCGCCGGCGACCGGGCCCTGGCCTTCCACCTTCCACACCTCTCGAACGAGGAAGAGGTACCGACACCGCTACCCTTCCCTCGTTTCTCCATGTTTGGACTTCCCGGGAGGCCCTCGTCGCCACAACGCATTTCAGGAGAGGTCTGGGGAATAGCGGTATCAGTATTTTGTGGGTTCCCTGAGCTTCCGATCTGCGGGTGGCTGGATCAGCGATCTCTTCGAGAAGCAGCAGTAGGCATA